GCCTCTAAGTATGATGTCAGATTATGAATGTTATAAGCTAAGCAGGTAAGCCTGGTTATTACTTGGATGGGAGACTATTTGGTAATAGCATATATTATAGATTTTGGCTGCTAGGTAACCAGGAGTTAGTAATACAGCAATGGAATCTTGAATCTATATCCGGAGTTTTGCATTTTACTCCCTCTGTTTTCACCGGGTTCTCCGATTTCCTCTCACATACCACTCGCTGATGAAATTTGCAAAATATCACTGCCAAACCCGCCTGAGACTTGGTGAGATTTTTCTGGCTTCCACCATGATAATAAGTCAACCAAGTAATTTTCTCTCAATCGTGTCTCTTCTCAGGGCCGTGTACCACCTGTCGCGTCTGAAAGAGCTGGTTGACACCATCAAGGAGAACAAGGATGGCTGCATTTTAAGGCGGTGGTCGAGGTTTGTACTCAGAAGGATACGTTCGCTTGGTCCTGCTAATTCATGGTTGTTAAACATCAATGGTACTTCAGGTGCTGTGGTGTGAATCGCAATTACTTGTGAACTTGTGGGGCCCATGGGGCACAGTAATTGCCCTGTTAATGGAAGTGCCACAACAAAGTATTGGAAAAATGTGATGAAGTTCGTTCAGGGTTGGAGTTAGTGAATGGTTGCAGCAGTATTTTGCACAGCAAATCCATGCAGACTCAAATGTCACTTGAAAGAGAACGGATATGTGAAAAATATTGTGAGCACAACTAAACTTATTTTGGTTTTATCCATTTTGGAAGGAGACTACTTTATTGGGAACATACATGCTAGTATTTGTGTAGTTATAAACATTTGGGAAATCACTGTAAAAGTACATTTGCTTATTTAGATTGCACTATACCTGTATTGTAAAATTTCAGAACCTTTTATGTAACTTGTAATCAATAAACCAAAGTTGCATATTGTATGCAACCCATGACTTGGATTGTTTTTATCATGTCTTGTTTAGCATGGTTGGTTATGTACAGTGTGAAAGAAATTCAACATACATTAAATATTTTCTGATATTTGAATGTTTATATTGTACATGTATATTTATTTTACAATAAATCTGAGACAAAGGCTTATACACATGGAATTGAAAATATTCAGCTATGATTTGTATTTCTCAAGTATTTTAAGAAAAGTCAGCGAGTCTCGTGACATGTCTTCACATTTGGGGGTGATGATTGTGATGGATATACAAGCATTAACCTGCTTACATTCCTAGAGTATGTAAGGTGAATTTGGGCATTCTGGGTGATTGGGTTTTAGGCCAAACACAGGCAGATGGTTGGGGATAGATGTTTTCAAGCATCTATTAATTATTCATCGGCATGTACTATCTTACTATGATGTAAAGTTCAAAGACATGGTTCATGAAGGGAATGGAATAAAAACTCAACTGTGCACAAGTATGGAGGAATTAATACTTGGAATTCAATGCAAAGATCTGGCCATATGGCGTTTACTGGGCACCAGGGTTGCCAAACAACACATGAAAGATGTGTATCAGGCACAGCCTCTGCATTATGAAAAAAATATCACTTCCTGAAGAAGTGCATTTTGCTTCTCCTGTCTTAGGTCACCAAAATAAATTAGAGCAAATGTGACTCGACTGACACAGGCAGCATTTATACTTGTGAAGTGTTCTCCTTCCGACGTGTGGTGTGTGTCGCACACACTGTCGAAGACGAGGTAGTTGCAGGAGACACCGTCTCTTTATTATCTTGTTCACACCAACTCCGGCCTCACTCGACCACGTTGCCATAGAGCCCGGCCTAGACACGACCCTGTCCGTGTTGCACCGACGGCGTCGACCGAGAAGGCCAGCTACTGTCTGGCCACGCAATGATTGGGCGAATGCGGTGGCAACGACAGCGACGACGAGACGAGTCCACTCCCAGAACCGGCAGCCCGGAGCTCTCGCTCTCCGCTGCTTATATTATATTCTATATTCTACTCGGCGCGGCTTGGCTCTGCCCTATCCACGCCTCCCTTCTCGAACCGACCAGAGGGTTCCAGAGGCTTCCCTATGAGGTCTTCCATGACCCTTGCCCCAATTCCTCTGCCCGGCCGGCATACCCGTATATATGCTCAACGGCGTGTGTGCAAACTTTCCACTGCAGTTGCCGCTGCTGGACAGCAGTCAGCGCTGTGTCACTACACTTGTATGAACACAAGAATTACATAATCATGTCTACACTTATATGTAATGGGCTGAGATAGGCGCACACAACTTCTTGGGAGGCAACACTATTTATTAACACCAACACATTACACTTAACATAAATTTCGATTTAAAGCTTTCGTGACTGCGGGCTAACACCAATCCCGAATATCCGCCCCCACAGCCCTTTAAATAATCTCCAATACAGCCCCCCAATCGGCTATGCGTGTATGAGTGACGTCCCTGCCCTCTAACCCCCGACCCCCCCCGTCCCGCGCGTGCGATTGGTGTGTCGCTCTAAAACTGACTCCAAATCCCCGCCCCGCAGCCCTTTAAACAATCTCCATTGCCCGGCATCGGCGGCAACGCGTGTGCGAAGGACGTCATTGCCCTCTGACCCCTGACCCCCCGTTCAGTTCGTGTGAGTGGTGCGCGGGGTTGTGTGAGCGGAGACGTCGCGTTTGAGTGGCTGAGAAGCGACGGATTGATTCCAGGCAGCCACGTGCCAGCCCCGAGCTATGCCCCACAAACAGGACCCGCGGACCCGAGGGGCTGCGGCGCGAGGAGAGGAGCCGGAGAGCGGCAGCCCTCTCACCGCGAGCGAGGAGTCGAGTAGCGGCTGCTCTCACTCGAGCGAGGAGTCCGGAGCCCGCAGCCCTCCCGAGATCAGCCCTCCCCCGGGGGGGGGAGCCGGGGGCCCGCGTCCCCCACAACTGACAACCTGTGTACCAACTGGCCGAGCGAGAGTTTGTGTGTATTTGAGCGCAATCGTGCCAGTGTTTAGCTGTACCAGGGAGTTTGGTGCAGCAGAGTGTTTCGGTGTAGCAGGGTGTCCGGATTGTGCCGGCACACTACCCTTCTATCCATAATGTCGTAGGGTGAGCTCCATTAAACGTTAACTCGGACCCCAACCTGTCAAAGCGCCTAATCTCGGAACGTGGTTCTCAACCTCTTACCTCACCCATGCTACGTACCTTTGAGACGTCCTGCTTTTACAAATGTTGATGAACTGGAGGGCAAAGGTCTGGAGGACCCCACATGGAGTCTGGTTTCTCACACCCGAGCCTCCTGTGACATTTCTGGAGGCTTCTCTGGAATCTTTGTCCCATTTATTGAGTGCAGATTTGGCTTACTTCTAGCTTCATCCCAAGACGTCATCCAGTTTGGAAATACCCGAAGGTTGTGGGAGTCGCCCCGTGCTTCAGTTTCTTTCCAACCCTCGCAATGGCCGGTTGCTCACCAGCCGGAAGTCTTTTGCTGCTTACACCACGACCGAGGTGTTGAGAGCAGCCATCTCGTGGCTGGTCGGCAATGGAGATGGTATTGTCGATTTGGGGAGCGTGAGTCTGTGGCGTTGGTGGTGCTGCTGTCACGGAGGCGACACGAGTTTAGGAAATTCAGTTTTGTGGGTTTCCTGTAGCGAGCACTGAAAGATCCTCCCTTCCTCTTTCTCCACCCTTGTCTCTACTGTCTCCATGTCCCCGTTCAACTCTTTCTACACCGCTTTCCTTGAATGTGCAGCTGCCTTTACGGCCTCCCCTCTCCCCTTCTCTCCACCTCCAACCCATCTCCGTCGTAATCTCCTCCCCTTTGTTCAGGCTCTTCCCTCTCTTCCTCAGTCTATGGATGGGGTTATTGTTTATCGGGCTCTTATACAAAAAATGGAGCTTATTTTAGCCTTTGAATAGGATTTTCTGTTTTCTTTCGGTAGCATGTTGCGTACATAGGGAAGATCGAGCCACGCCACCGGTTCCCATTATCAAAATCTTTGTCAACTTGTCTCCCTCGGTAGGAATGCCTTTCCTTCTCCAGCAAGCAATTGTCTTCTCTCTCTCCTCCGGTATTTCTTCCGATGCGCTTTCTTAATCTCGCTTGCTGTGTGTATCGGCTCTATCATTCAACAAGGGCAAATTAAAAAAATTGCTTTTTTTTCCTCCACTGCTTTACCACTATACCTCCTGAGTGGGTACTCGGAGTTTCATCTAATGTACTATTTGATGAGTCGCTTCCACACAGCAGAAAGGCGGTAGCTATCCGAACTGTAAATTTTTCTTCCAATTTCGATAGATTCTCGAATTATTCTTGGGCAGTAGTAGCTAGTTTTGCACAGAATTTCAACATTAAAATCAACTGAGTGTCCTTGTTGGCACGTGTGTTCTGCTACTGCTGAACATGGGTGCCAACAAATAATACATTATTTAAATGCATGCCTATAAAGGGCAGCATACTTCAATAGGGATTACCATTGGTACGGCTATTTTAATACACAATAGACAGGAAGGACAAGATCAAAGGGCTCTCATAATGCACATGCATAATGTACGTTGACTCGGTAATCTCCCCCCCCCCCCCCCCACTTTGCGCGAGAGTGCCACAAATCTGGCTGTCGCCTGATGAAGCTAGTTGTAATTACTGGCAAAACGTCGTACTCCGATTGTAAATGTTGTGGCTTGGCTCTCCAAAGTACCAGTGACGAATTGGCTTGTTCTGTTTCCGTGACAACCCTACTAGTTGGCTGTGTCGAGTGGTGGCGGGTTTTAACGACACGTTTATATATGTATGCGATCTAATCCAAAAAACACCTCTATGGATGATATTGGGCGCGAAAGCCTACATGTTAAACCAAAATTTAAAATATATACAAAATAACAATAATTTCTAGTTTTCCTCATTCACATCGTGATTCGTATGAAAAGACATGAGATGATTGAGACATGTTAAATCATAAACGTATTTATTAATATATATACAGATAGTCCTCGACTGCAATGTCCTTGTCCACGTGCAAACAGAGTTAGGATAGCAGCCTCCTTTAAAAGTCAGAGTAGATTTATACGCTGTAGAAGACAGTTGACGAATCCTCGTTGCTTGATTCCTCCTCGGATCCCTTCAGCAGTGAGTCGTCACCAGTCTTCTCTGCCTGCTCATTCTCCATGTGGCACCGCTGGGGTGGGTGCAATACGCCAGGAGACTCCTTATGCAGCGAGCAGCGAAGCAGGCCCATCTCTGCCTGCTCATCCTCAACGTGGAATTGAGGCGATGGCGGTGAGCTGGGGGCATCGGTGAGGAGGGTGTTACGGAGACGGCCCAGCTCTGCCTGCTGCAGAATCGTCTGTACGACGAAGCGCTCGCGGCGCATGCAGGCGCGCACATGGGATGGCGTGTCCGGGATGATGTATGCAATGCAGGCCTTCGTGAGTAACACCACGTGCTGCACACGTCCACACACAGGTAAAGGATTTTCAGTTTCAGGATTTGCATGTAAAGGGTGCTTACTAAATATAATATGGCAGCATCTTAAAGTGCTTTACATCTCAGGTCAACTATTCCGGGGACCTGAAGCCTAGGGATATTATATTGTTACGTCGTTTTTCCCAATTAAATTAAGTCATTTGAGTAATTTTTGAACATTTGGCAAATTATACCGAGGCACTTTTTTGAATTACTTAATGGGTTTTTTACGTTCACTATGCAGCAGGCAACATTTATGATGTGCAGTTAATGCACCCACAGTATTCACCTGGGCAGCCGCAAATTACCGCAACAATCAGCAAACACTTACACTCGGCCATGTCACCACTACAAAGATTCCCTGTGTAGCCTTTCACAGACTGAGACAAGTGCATCTATGAAGGGTGGCACAGTGCCTGCGGGGGTGGTGTGCACCTTTATCTCGCCAGTGATGATTTTCACACACTTCATCAAGTACTCATTTTAAGACAGAATCAACTTAAGGGAAGCTCAACACTGGTTCTAATATTTT